TCCTCGCGGCCGGCGAAGATGTCGCGCAACAAGCGGTCCGCGCCTCGCACCTCGCGCAGCTGTCCGCCGCCGAGCGCGCGCATGAGGTCCTCCGCGCGAGCGAACTGTCTACCAGTCCGCTCACCCTCGCGCTGATGGCCATCTATGGGATCTGCCTTTCGTTCGTCGCCGACGGAAAACTCACATTCAAGTGGCTTTTCACCCGTGGTCGCGTCGGCATGGTTATCGCCACGATAGCCGGCGCGGGTGCGAACGTCGACGATTTCTTTGTACCGGTATTCGCGGGGATCCTCGCGCTTCTTCTCTCCGACGTCCTCTTCTTCGCGTTTATCCGGCCGATGTGCGTCCGCGCGCGGCGGGCTGCGGACGCCGCGAATTCCCAGCTCGAGCTCCGGCGCCAGCACGAGCTCCGCGTCGAAAACGCGCGCATCGCAGAGTATTGGCCGGTCGCCCCGCGCGCCACGTGGCGGCCCCGGGACCCGCGGGAGATCGCCGACGCCTTCAAGACGACGGCGGCGGGGACGGACGCGGCGCGGCATTCGTACCACCTCGACCGCGAGCTCGCGCGCGCGCGCGATGACCACGAGCAGCTACTCCGGGTCTCCGACTACGAGCAGCTGCTCCGAAGACGCGTGGCGCTCGTCTATTGGGCCGTTTGCTTAGTCGCGCGCGTCGCGGAGAGCGCGGGCCTCATCGCCACCGGCGCCGGCGGCGCCGCGGGTCAGATCTGGACGGCGCTGGTCGTCGTGGCGTCGACCGCGTGTTTTTTTGCGTCGCCGGCGTCCCAAGCGGCGTGCCTGCGGAACGCGCACTACCTCGTGGCCTGCTTTACGTTCGGGAACCACGCGCTCCGCGCGCTCCGTCTCACGCAGCTCTCCGACGACGAGCGCGCACACGAGCTCTCGCGCGCGCGAGCGAGCGCGTGCCACCCGCTCTACTACGTGCTCGTCGCCTTCCAGGGCATCTGCCATTCGTTCATCACCGGGGGCCAATTCAAATTGTTCCAGTACGGTTTCGCCGTCGTTAACGTCGGTCTCAGCCTCGCGGTGATTCGAGGCGCAGGGGCGGACGCGAGCGATTTCCTTACGCCGCTGGTCGGGTGGGTGCTCACGGTTCTCCTCGCGGACGGCTGCTTCTTCGTCCTGATGCGACCGCTCTGGCTCGAGTCGCAGCGCGCCGCGGACCGCCAGCTCGAGATCCGCGTCGAGGAGCTGACAAGCGAGAAGGAGCGCATCGTCGCCGCGGGGCGGGGGCCAGTCGCCCCGCGAGCGACGCGGGAGCTCGAGTCGCGCGCGCGGGAGCTGGCCGACGCCCTCGAGACGGCGGCGGCGGGGACCGACGCGCCCGGCGACGACGCCCGCGTGGCGGACCTCGGCCGCGAGCCGACGCGCTCGCGGGACGACGACGAGCGGCCGCTCCGCCCCCCCGACTTTGAGCGGCCGCTCCGAAGCCGGGCGGCGCTCCTCTTGTGGGCGGTCGTGGTCTTCGCGCGCGTCGCGGAGAGCGCGAAGTTCACCTTCACCGGCACCGGCGGCGTCTTAGGCCTGGTCTGGACGGCGTTTCTCGTCGTCGCGTCGACCGCGGCTCTTACGGCGTCGCCGGCCGTCCAGGCGGCGTGCCTGCGGAACGCGCACTACCTCGCGGCCGGCTACACGGTCGGGCGCCACGGGGTCCGCGCCTTGCACCTCGCGCAGCTGTCCGCCGACGAGCGCGCGCGCGAGGTCCTCCGCGCGAGCGAAACCTACGATCACCCGCTCAACGTCGCGATTGTCGCCGTCCAGGGCATCTGCCTCGCGCTCATCACCGTCGGCCATCTCAGATTCAAGGGCCTCTACGTCCTCGTGAACGTCGGCCTCTACGTCTCGGTGATCCGCTTCTCCGGCGCGGACGTCGGCGAGTTCCTGGCACCTTTGTTCGTGTGGATCGTCACGATGCTACTCGCGGACGTCGTCGTCTTCGGCG